AAGAGGTTCACGAAAAGGTTCTCCACTCCTGCTGTAAGATCAGTATAGTGGTTGAACAGAGGGTTAGTGAGAGAAGAGGGGATAACAACGATCAAATCTTCCGGTACTGGGTGATAGGCAGTGATTCTAAGCTGCAGTTTCTAGCTTTCTTCCCCTGCTGGAGGACGTGGCTGATGTGCTCATCCAGGATGCTTCCCACTCTCTCCACCAATACTCTACATTCGTTCCTAGTCAAACAGAACAGATCTTTACTGTCTAGGCACAACGTGTAGAAGGTCAGCTTCAATCGGATCAAATCGGACTCATCGACGTCACTAGCGGCACATAAACTTCATTCAAGGGTATGCAATATGTATACAAGGTTGAAGAGAAATCTCTGGAGGTGCTTGCAAAGCGTGCTGCTTATTCCAGCTCATTACCTGTGGGAGCAGGATCTCAGCTGTAATGGTAATCTCGCTTGTGCCCTCCGTCCTGTTTTTCAGCTGGAGAGTTATCCCATATGCTTATTCGTTTGTCTTTTTCTAGAGTGCTTGGTTACTCTCCTGTAAACTCATGGCTAATGAGAAACCTTTCAAGTGGGAAAGACGACCCTTGTAATGTGTTTGCTCCGGTTTTGCCTCCTTTACCTGCTCATTCCTTTTGCTTGGTCCATCATCCGGCCGCCCCTGTCACAGTCGAACCTCTCATATTTGATCCTGTCGTATTGGATAACCTGTCTTTATTGGGTCAACTTTGCCGAACGAAGCCCCCGGCCTTATCCAATATAACAGCTTCAACTGGTACTAGAAAGTAGTCGTCTTCGGGTCTTGTCTGCCATAATCTGACTTCAACCCAGCTGGCGATCCCTGGTAGACATTTGCTTTAACTACTGTATCCACGGCAAGAGCTACTCAACGAGTGAGGCTAGCCAGTAACCATGCCGCGCTCCATATAAAGGTCTGTCCAGGGCCTCAAAGCAGGTGAAGTGTACACCTAGGGCGCAACGCAAGAGTAGGGTCTAGAGTATTCTGACTAGTTTACTGGTGCCACTCTGATTCCGTCGAGTTTTCGAGCCTATATGATGAACAGTGTCCTACTAGGATCTGGTATTAAGAGATACCGTATGACCGTTCTGACAGAAGCGCGCTGTGCACCCCACGGCTCATTGAGCAGAAGCTGTTAGATAATGTAACTCGCCATAGGACAGCGTTCTAAAGAATCCTCGAGATTCAAACTTCACGGTGCTTTAAGGAAAGTTTAGTAAACACAAGATTTGTATTGAACCTGAGATCACTGGGGGTGATATGGGAAACTAGACTGTGTTACAAAAATCCTCTGTTGTTGGCCCCGAGTAAGAAATATCTGAAGTGGTGGGGAGCTATATGGGGGGGCATTGGTAAAGCTGTATGAGAAGGATTGACAGCATTACCTGATTTTGTGTGTGGCCGGGGGCTGGAACTGTCATTTTTCTTCTGTGCTTCTCCTTCTTGCTCTTATTGTACTGGGCATGGCCTACAGGCCGATGGAATGCAGATGGTGTGGAGAGGAGGAGGTTGCACGCATCTGGAACCGGTGCGGGGTGTGGGGGAGGAGGTGGCCAGGAGGATTGGAAGCGATATACATTTCCCGGCCACAGAGGAAGAGGTAGGGTCCCGCTGGTGGAATTGATGAGGTGGATAGAGAGATAATCCTCACTTGGTTCACCCTCCAGCTCGAGCTAGCTCGTGCCGCTCACTATCGACGACAACTGCCGGGTGTGGAAGAGACGAATCTGGCCGGGAGGCAGAGCGGGCATAGCCAACCCACCGAAAGACGGAGAGAACGACCCCCTCATAAAACTAGTGGAGGAATTGGGAGACTGAAATATACTCTTATTTTCCTTTTCCCTATCAGCTACCCATTAGCCGACATATACTTCTATTTTCCTTTTCCATATCAGTTAACCTATCGCCATAGCCCATAGGGCGGCATGCGATTAATCATTTAAATAAAATATAAAAAAATATCAGTTAACCTATATTTCCCAATTTATTTCATTTATCTCATATGTACATACATCGCCATAGCCCTCAGGGCGGCACGCGATTACAGATATTAAAAAAAAAAAAAAAAAAAAAAAAAAGAACCCGTTCTAAGGACCCCAACTTCACTTTGTCATCCCTATTTTCAGACCTCCACGTTTCAACGTGCTTGCAAAGTTCTTCACATAACACCCTGTTGTAGCTATGATCCGGACCAAGGGTGGCAAGGGTGCATTGTCGTTTATCCGTTTCAATTGCCGTCTGGCTTTCTCCAAGCAGTTTCGCCACTGACGTTTTCATTGTATGTTGGTAGATGAGTTTTACAGAGAATGTAACAGGATTCCAGCTACTTTATCGGCAAGGCCTGATGCACAATGATGGGTTATTTCCCTCGCAAATTCGTACACTTTGCAGCCGCCTGGGCTGTCAGCATCGGTGACGAGGTTGGGAACAGGGGCGAATGGCAGCTCTCAGTTTGATAACCTTCCCTGGGAACTTTGCCTCTGGTATTTAGAATAATATTCCCATCGCTCTGTGTGATACTTCTCCATTGAAGGTCCTATTCTCCTTCGTGATCTCCTGTAAGGTCCAAGCTCACCGGAGCCAGTACCGAGTGTTGTCCCAGCCATCCTTGCTAAGGACCCTTCAAGGCCGTTGAAGTAGTGAACGATCTGTGCTGCTGCACCATATATTACCAATTGTGGGGACATCTATTCTCCTTTCATGTTGCTTAATTTCCTAATGTAAATACTAAGGACGAGCATTTGATTGTCTGAGACAGAGTACATCAAGCCACACGTAGTCCGCCCTAAGCTAAGTAGCTCCTTCCGTACATTACGCCCCAATCTGACTCCTTTAGGTAGCGGAACTGGTCATAATTGTAATCCAATCTGCGGAGCTGCCATTGAGAAAACCTCCGCACGCAACATCCGGAACTCCACTATGCAGTTGCTCTTGAGGTCCCAGACGCAGCATGGCATGGCAAAATATGGTGAGTGGATAAGCACTGTCCCATGTTATCCTTGTGGATTGCCTTGCTTCGCTCCCCGTCGACTTCGGTTGCTTTCTGCAGCCACTGGGCCCTTTATGCTGCCACGTCAAATTCTAGTTCACTGATGTGCTTCCACCCAAATCGAACTGCTGCTTACTGTATGCTACACCGAAGTCAAAGTGTCCTGAAACAAAGTAATGAATACCTTCTCCGATCCAGTTTTGGAGACGTTCAGTTGAATTCCTGCATAGCACAACTAGGGCTCTAAGGGAGTGTAAAAGGATTTCCTTGTTGAGCTGCTTGCATGAGATATCAGCTTCCTCTTTTTTTAAAAAAAGATATATATATATCATTACTCGCATGCCGCCCTAGGGGCTATGGCGAGACAGCTTCCTCTGAGGTAATAATGTCTCCACCTTGCCAGAATACAAAAGAACCCCTCATATTGGATATCGTCGGGGACGGGCCTTCTACCCAATATCGCCTCATATCCAGTAAGAGAGGTTTATTAAGCCGAGAGTCTATCTACATACAAATAGTGTCAATACATGAATCGAGATGAATCAATGATATACAGGGTTGGTAAGTGACTCAAGAATCAGTCAAGCCTGAGATCTCACACCAGCTGTGAAGTAGTTAATGATTGTAGCTTGACGAACAGAGCGGGTAATTTTGAAGGAAGCCGTTTGTTTGTCCAACCTGTGTAGTGAACTTGTTAATGCTATGACGTAGCAGTGAAGAGGAGTGTGAGCTTGAAGCCGTTGTTCCCAGTGTACAAGTCAATAAAACTAAATGACAGTGGATATTCTTCATGTTGTAGCTGGAATTAGAGGCCTATATACCACGTGTTTTGCCTGAGTAGCATCATATACTAAGCATTAGTTTATGGTTCTATCCAGTATGACAGGGACAAATTGCTAATAATATCCCTGTCTTGGCTACCTGAACAGGCTATCCATCCAATAACCCCCATATATCCAATACGCTCCATAGTCCCAAACTCGGGAGAGAACCCGTATCCAATAGCGGCTAATATCCAGTAAGCGAGGATCCAATTACTCCTGTACCGGATTAGCTGTGAGTCAGTAGTCGACGGTCGCGAGTTGCACTTGACTTGGTGATGGTGACAGCGATGGAATCTTGTACCATACTCGCTATACGGCATTAGAGAAGGAGATGTCGCATCTGATAATGGGGACTCCATCTAGGAAACCATCGGCATCTAAAGCAGAACCATCGGAATGGCTGCCGGTACCAGTCGCTGGCTCTTCTTCGTCACCATCATTACCACACTTTTCCGCCTCCAACACCAGCATGTCTTTTGCATGCAGCTGCCCAAAGCAGTTCCGTAGTTACCGCCACAATGTTGATATCCACACCTCGATTAAACAGCAACGATAAAATATCCTTCTGTCCCATATATGCAGTTTCCCACAATGCAGTTCCGCAAAACCACTCACAACGCTGATATCTGCTCTCAATCCAGCAGCAGTGACACAATGTTCCGGTATCCTGCAAAGGTGGCAGCGCCCTAGGCACTTCGAAACATGCCATGTACAACGTTGACATCCGCCACTCGATCTAGCAAATGTTGGCACAATCTTCTCATGTCTTCATCCACTTCGTACTTGGCTGCTATTCAAGCCTTTGGAACCGAGGGTGCCGTTTGGCGTAATTGATGGCACGTAGAAGATATTCCTCAGTATATGCAGGCATTATGGACTAGAATATGCAATATGCTTAAACTCTTGGTTTGGTAGAGTAATGAATGCAGACTAAAATGATATATTTGGTACTGGAAACAACTTATGGATGTTGACATAATAATATAAATGTGAGCGGGGGTGTTGCTGATGACAGGGATAATTTCTTCCGGCACTGCCTCGTGGCAAAGTGCTACTACCTACAATACCACAACGGAATTACTTTATTCCGCAAAATAATCCTACAAAACTTGCAAAATCCCTCTACCAATAAAACCCAGAAGGTAGCATAGGGGCAAAACGAAGGGCTCCATCCGTGGTTCGAACACGGGACCTCTCGCAAGTCGGAGGAACTCAGGGTAAACCCTAAGCGAGAATCATACCACTAGACCAACGGAGCAATCACATGATATTGTGTTGTTTTGTGTTTGTCATCGTTGTCGGCTTCCCCACTTCAATGCTACTTATGTATATCAAGGGATCAGATTTCATTTCGAGCGATTCACCTTTACGCTTGCAATAATGGATGACTTTCCGTAGGCGCAGATTCACAGATTCACAGGCTTATTAGTGCTCGATCGCCCAGAAAAATTTCTAAACCCCCGTCCAGATTCTCAAATCTGGCAGCAGACCCCCCCTCCCTCCCCCCTCGCCCCTCTGCCAGATTCCAGATTCACAGAAATTTTTCACAGATGAACAAAAGGGGTTAGTCAACGTAGAATTGAATCTGCATACCTTGTAATTTGCATATCTAATCTCAACACCAAAAATAAAATGTCACCCTTCTTAAATCTACGCTGAAATACATGTCTACACCAAAATACTAGTATCCCCACTCATCCAGGTGATGAGTTGGAAGAAGCTCTTTATTTATTATATGCTCAAGTCTATTGGGTCTTCAAATTAAGTGACAATGATGAAAGCAACTTTATTTGACTTGAACAGCATTATGAAGTGCTGAAAAGTGGTAGTTGGTGAACGATAGGTGTAGATAATTTTGCATGCAATAATAGGTGCATAAAATACTTGCCTTTGTAATGGTGCTGGGGCGTGATGTGCTGACAAATTTGAGAATCTGGGAATCTGAGAATTTTATTTTGTGGTTGCCATGGGAATCGGGGTCTGGCGCAGAATTTGGACTAGGATCTGGGTCTGTGAATCTGTGCCCATGGGAAGTCATCCAATGGAACCTATTTGCAGAGCAAGAAAACTGTCCTGTGCAGCACACCAATCAATCATCAGCGCACCTCTGTGGCACCCAGAAGCCGTTTTTATACTCACCTAGGTACCGGACCTATTCTGTTTCTAGATACTATATAATCTTAGCACACATCAGTTTTTCATTATAGCATACAAGTAACAATGAAATCTCCGCTCAAACGTATTACCCCACGAGGACAATCTAGTCTCGTTACAAGTCAATACCCATCGAAATGCGCTTCAGATTCTAATTGCAAAGTGATTCTTTTTTTTTTTTTTTTTTCTCAAACTCAGGCGTAAGTGCTCGCCAATCTCGACACCATATAATCCTCAGACTTTATCCCCGGGTACTTTTTCTCTCCCTTCTCCCCCCCATAGGTCCCCGGAATAGCCTCAATGTAACTAGTATAATCCGGATTGCAAAAATACACACAACTGTACCTCGATGGATACCATTCCTCCTCCTTCCCGTCCGGGCTGATTTTCACGACTGGCTTCGTTGGTGGCTTCACAACCCTGTGCATCGTCGACTTGATTTCATCATTCGACCACCGTGCTAACAAATCCCCGCGTTGACGACAATTGTTCCGGGAATGGGATTTGCATCAACATACTTTCCCGAGGGACTCAATACCTGCAGTCCGCCGCTATTATCCTGCATCAACAGCGTAATGGACCCATAATCCGTATGTGGGCCTACTCGTATCGCCTTTTTGCTCTCATCCCCTTCATCCCCTGTCCCCAACACTTCATTCTTGGCTTCTGGATAATGTAACAACCTCAAGTTATTGTCCCCATCCTTGCAGTGCTTATCAAACCACGTCTCTTCAATTCCCAGCCCGAGTGCAATGGCCCGCATCACTTGCACATGCATTCCAATCCCAATCTGAAAAAAGTTCTCCATAAACGACTTCCACTCCGCGCCTGCGGCGTCGAACTTGTCGGGCCACATGTTAGGGTACTGCGGCTGGTCGCTGCGCCCAACCTCGAACGATTCCTTCAGGTCGGGCTGTCTTTGACGAAGGTTGTCCACATCCGCCTTGGATGTAAAATTGCTAGCTTTTTCGCGGCCGATAGTGCTGTATCCTCGATTGGCGCGGGCGCTGTACCAGGCGAGTGCTTCCTTTTGCCATTGAGGACGGTCGAAAAATTCCTTGGACTATGAAGGGGTGCGAAAGGTGTTGATGTCAGTTGAAACCAACTTGACAACTTCATACCATTAGGAGGACAAACCTTTGCAAACAACTCGTCAATCGTCTGCTGTGGTATCCCGTGGTTCTTCAAGTAGATAAACCCAGCATTTTTGAACCCCGAGACAATCGTATCCGCACATGCCTTTTTCTCTTCTGGCGTTCCATGAAGAAAGCGGGAGAAATCGATTAGCTGTTCATCAGGACTGTCGTTAGCTGTAAGTTCAGTTTCAATAGCTCGACCTTTGCCGGTGATTTTTTGGTTACGTCATAGCCTCCGATATAGTAATCTCATGAGCAGATAGATGATGTCTAACATACCGGAATACATAACCTAGTATCCGAAACGGCTATTTCCACTCCAGTTCCTGTGGTCATGGCCATAATACTAAATTCTTAGCCAAAGCAATTCAGATGTGTAACTAGTGTGTGCTGGAAAGATAAATATTGAGGGCACTTATTGCGTCGGAATATGTGCTGATGTGAGGAGGAGAGATAGGATAGTAAGCAACAGCTTATAATCAGTAGCGTAGGCTCGTCTGCTTTATAAAACTAGACGATCATCTTAGTCAACCGCTCTAATTGGATTTAGCTGAGTGCTGACGCAAACTCTCGGAACGTAACTCTTCGTAGTTGTCAATGGAACGCTCGCTTCGACTCCTTGACTAATATCCTGCCTAACGCCAAAACTGAGTTGTGTCTGCTCTACGATTGCGGAGATCTCAAATTACCTCCTGATCTTACCCCACCTCGAGCTCACCTCATCGCATACTCCTGAGCTCCGCCCGCTCCATTATCGCTATGACATTGCACCAAGCCGAGACATGCATGACTTGCCAGATAAAGAAAAGGCGGGACAAGATAACGACAACGGACATGTGACAGGATGCAGTTTAGAATAAAGACACTCAAATCACATTGTGTGGAGATTAATAAAGAAAACTATATCATAGCTATGTTTCTATGTACCAGTACCGTATAGGTAACGATGTAGACACTAGTAATGCGGTTTGCACCCTCCCCAACAGCCAAATGTCAGGCACATCTCACAGAATATACTAGCCGAAAAAATAAATATCCGGACAGGGGATCAATGCATATTATGCATTATGCAGTCTTCGGTATCAACTAGCATATTTTCGTAGGCTTGTCCATGAGACCAGTCCAAATTTCGAGACAGTGTCTAAATTTTATTACTTCAGAAGTATCCGGACAGCTGACATAATGAATTCAGGACTTTATCATACATCACCAACATGGATAGGTTATAAGATTCCAAGACTACTCTTAGGGGCGGTTAGTCTGGAGCTTTTCCACTATAAGCTGTTCCGGAGGCTTTTCCCGAGGCTGTTCAATATGCTTTTCTGAAGGCCCAGAGGCTGGTTCGAGGGCTATTCTCATTACTGTTATATTTTGGTATTAATCTATATACATATGGGTATCATGCTACATAACTATTCCCACCATCAGCAAAACTGGCAAGCCTCTGGAATGGCCTGTCGAACAGCCTCCGGAACAGCCTCTGGAACAGCCTCCAGAACAGCCTCCGAAAGGGCCTCTGGAACAGCCTGCATAAAGCCTGTCGAACAGCCTTCGGAAGAGCCCGTTGAACAGCATGTAAATAGTCCCTCGAACTGCCTCCCGAACTGACTGCCTCTGGCTACGCTCGCAACGGTGGCAGAGCTTGCGATGGGGGCAGGGGCAATGCTGGCGACACGCGACCGCGGTTAGGGCCTTTCGTAACTCCGTACTGTCACGAAGTAGCAGACTGCATCCTCGCAACTCCGAGGATCTATCGGGGTGAGTTTGCACATGGCTTTTCAGCCGCTTGCACGCATGCTCCCTGAGAGACCCCACGCGCTTCATTCGGGGGCCCATACAACCATACCACGCCTAGGGGGGTGGCGAGCCCTCAGTGGTGACATCAAGAGCGGGAAAACTCATAGTTGTGCACACTTAACACAGGGGGATAGCACTAGGCTCAACGACATCCACTGCGCGCACTCTGTATCGGAGTCTAGAGCTAGTAAAGTGTCTCATAGGTAATCTCAATAGTCAATCATCAGGAGAAAGGTCATAAAGAAAAGTAGTTAATTGTCCTGTCTGATACAATGTCTATCTAATCTGATGTCTCCAGTGCTCGCTTCATCATCTTATGTGCACATTATCATACACTCCTGCCACCGAGTACTGTACCTTGCCGTGTTCAGCCTCAATTCTACGGTCGGCACAGTGATCACTATCACACAGTGCCTGTCAACTTTATCTGATCAACTATTCTATCCAATACCCCACCACTACCATCACTATCTCTTCCAACCTTCCAACTTTGTAGTTGCCCACCCATTAACAACACCTTACGGAATGGCCTGCTCTCTGCAGAATCGCCTGCTGAAGCGCCTGCTGAATCCCTATCGAGTCGCTTGCCAAATCGATTGTAGAACTACATGCCAAACTTGTTAGTGCTAAGCTGCTAGTTAGCTGACATAATGAATTGCTTGCTGACCCCTTCGCCCGAACTGTATCGTGCATTCTCTCTTAATATACTAAGCCATCCACCATAGCATTCACCTAGTAGCAAGGTTAGTGGAGTAAAACTTGAGAACCTAAAATTTTATAATTTTTCCAGTATTAGTATGATAGTGTGAATGGAATAATAATGATCTTACCCTGCATTGTCAAGTTGCGGAGTTGAAAAGGGGTGAGAAGGTAGAATTTAAGAAAGCTTTACTCTCGGTTCAGGAGAATATCATAAAAGTCAAGCTATGTTTATTTCAATTAGTATACTGGTAGGACTTACTCAAGTTGACAGAGATCGTGCGCAGTTTGATTAAAAGTGCTGATCGACAGCCACTTGTGAGGTCATACATAGCTACAAAGTATAGAAATCTATTGGACGAAATGAGAGGAGGCCTGGCAAAACGGTTTTATCTCAACTACTCCCTTGGGCAGGTGAGACACGCCTACACTTGCATTAGTGGCAATGTTGCTATGATATGATATACCGGAC